ATCTGCACTGAAGAAGTTTTTATATCATTCTTTTTATTCCATGAATGAATATTATCAACACAATTGGTCATAAGTGTGTAAATTTGTAATGTATTTAATTAAGTTAATATAGGTAATTTAAATAAAATGGTATTAATTCAAGTTTTATAGTAAGTTATTTTTAAATTATGTTTATTAATTAAAATCTTGTTAAATTTTTTACTTTATATTATTATTTATGTTAATCGATTAATGTAAGTGATTTTGATGATGTGAATCATGTAATTTTGTATATGTATCTTGATATATCTATTTTCAAAGGGACCATTTCCACATCCTAGGTTTGTTACCTGTATGGCTATATGGAAAATAAAGGAAATGAATGAATGAATGAATGAATGAATGAATGAATGAACCAATGCTGTGAGAACCTCAATATTCATACAATATTTTGTCATATATACTATACATACGAGAATGTAAAAATCACAAGAAGTACAAAGTTAAGAGAGAGATTGCTAATTTACATATTTCAATATGTCTTTTCACATTCTAAGGTCCTCTAACACTGAATCAGCATGTCTTGTTATTTTATTTCACCTACATTTATTACAAAAATTCTCAGCAATCATATACCAGGAAAACAACTTTTTGGAGTCTGTCTATTGTCTGGATATATGGAAGTATCTTTCTTCGGAGAAAAAAGAAACAAATTCATTATTTATCCAGATAATGACGACGTCCACACAAGATACATCCATTACAATATTAAACAAGTGTCGATAAAAACCTCTAGAACTACAACAGCCAATCAGACTTCCATTGCCAATTAACAATCCTTAAGACCTTAAACTTAAAAATTCCATTGCCAACTTTCCATTTTCAAATTATCATAATTCTCAGTTCAAATTACTACTCCATGTCTCAGCATACATACACTTTATTAATACCAACATAAAAATCTTACCTTTTCAGCCTTTTTGTCTCCCCTTTCTAAGGCATTTACAGCCTCTTTCAATGCCTTCACCACTTCTGCTGGACTTTTCTGAGACTTGCCAAACAGAGGCATGATTTAGTTGCAACAGGTAACTATTAATGCCAGAACTAGTCACTTGCCCCTCCACTCTGGCATAAGGATATCACCTGTCAAAAAACAAATTAAAATGTACAAACTGATTAAGATTTATCCTAAAGCTACAGCCATCCAGAAGGGCTGTGGGCTTCACATCCAAGCAGAACAATGCCTTTCCAAGCAAGTAATTTGATGATGGTGAAACATCATGAGCTATACACATAGGGTCCATGCTATCATTCATTTATTCACCTTCCATAAATCCTGTTGAGAATACATTCTCATGCAGATGTGGAGATCATCCTAGTTACAGTCACAACTATACTTCTTTGAAATCCATTTTAATATTATATTCCCAAGCCATCTCTTCCCTTCATGTTTTACAAGCAAAATATGGTGCATTTCTCATCACTCTCATATGCTTCACATCCCAATCATCTCATAATCCTTGATTTGATCACCGTCATAATATTTGATGACGAGAACAAATTATGTTGAACCTCAAATCTTACAAATTATGTTCTTTGGTATGCAATTTTATCCGGCCCTCCTTACATCTTTCAGCTTGCCACTACTACCATATAAAATAAAGCTGGCTGGATGAAAGGTATCCAAAATAAAATAATTATATCTCAGAAAGCATTTGTTATACACATTTATGGGTTACATCATTACAAAGGGAAACCAAAGTTTTTTTTTTTCTGGGTATATAACTTTCTCAGTAAATTTCAGTGTGGGCTCCCTTTGTGGCGGAACAAATATCCAGACAATATTCGACCTAATTCCATGTTGCCTGAAACATGTAAGGCGTTACCATAGCCACAGCATCCCTTATGCAGGCTTTCAGGTGTCGTAGGTCGTTGATCTTAACCTGGTAGACAATGTTCTTCACATAACCCAACAACAAAAAAATCCAATAGGGATAAAATCTGGCAACCTAAGAGGCCAAGTGATTGCTCCACTTCTGCCGATCCATCTCCCAGTCATCTCCATGTCCAGGTGATTCCTAACATGGTGGCAGAAAAGTCGCAGCACATACATGTAAGCTGGGCATGAGAAAAGCTTTCAGAGATTTCCTTTCCAATGACAAAAACCAAATATACTGTAGCGTGTTTGGTGTGTCACGCTACAAGTAAATTCACGCCGGTCTCGAATTCAGTAGAACATTTATTGTTCTTCACGCTTACACAATCACATGCTTTACAATTGTTAGCCTACACAATCTCTCGGCGACACTGGGCTGGCTTCGCTGGCGGTGTATAGCAGACTCCTTTCTGCAGCGGATATTCCAGGGCTTTCTTCTTCGAAATCTATTCCGAGACTGAAGGCTTCTCATCGAAGCTGGCCTATTTATACCCTTGCCGCTGCTAGGCAAATGAACCTTCTGTTATAACCATGGAGACGTTGCTTTGTTTGTCATTACCGTGGAGATTCGATGTTCTCGATACAACAGCTCACTGTTGGAATTACAGTATCGCTATTGTTACTTCTTATGCAACGGTCTGTTCTAGCGTTTCCATAGAAGTGACCTCTGGATTCCAGACACGTTACATTGCTCCCTTCTAAAGGTTGTTCGTCCCCGAACAGCCTAAAGGTTCTCCCTCGGTTTTGATCCCGCGGTGTTTTGCTGGCAACGTCTTCATTCGGCCTTGCCGTTCTGCCGGCGTCTTCGTGTGGTGTTCGCCTAACCGTATCCGCCCCTGTCTTCAGTTGTGCTCGTCTCGAGCAGTTCCATGGTAGGCCGCGAGCCGGTCCAGGTGTACTACCAACATCCTTGACCTCGGGTTCTTTTGGATTCTGTATACCACATCATTTATCCGGGTCACTATTCTGTAAGGACCTTCCCATGATGCTTGTAGTTTTGGCGATTTCCCTTTCCTTCGGGTTGGGCGATAGAGCCAAACTCTATCGCCTTCGTCATAACCTGCGGAATTTGCCAGTTTGTCGTACCGGGTTTTCATCCGGTCACTGGCAAGCTTCAGGTGCTGTCGTGCATAATTGTGGGTGTCGTGCAGATGCTCCGCCAAGTCCGCTGCATAATCTGTTATGGGTAGTTCTTTGCCTGGGGGCACCCCAAACAGCAGGTCGCAAGGTAGTCGGAGCTCTCGTCCGAATACTAGGCTAGCAGGGGTCAAGCCTGTAGTGTCGTGGGTGGACGCTCTGTAAGCTAGGAGAAAGAGGGCTAACCTCTCATCCCAGTCCCTCTGGTGGGACGCGACGACCTTCCGCAAGTGTTCCTCGATGGTTTTGGCGTAACGTTCTACCATGCCATCCGACTGCGGGTGGGAGGGTGTTGTGCGCCTCTTGCTTACTCCCAGGCGTTGC